TCGCCTCGAAAACTCGCTGCCATCATCGCATCGCTGCTGAGACGAGGGGGTGGGGCAGGGGGTCGGTCACCAGCGTCCTTTTCGCAGCGGAGCTTAAGCAGGAATGGGATGTGGTCCCTCGACGGTATCCTTCTGATTGCCTGCGTCGAGTCTCCGAAGCCCCGCACGATGTGACATTGTCGGGGTCGTTCGAGCCAGCCCCGACGTACATACCAATAGTCAATCACGCTGCCCTTCGATGGCTTGGTGGCCGACCAACATGTGTGCGCATGCGGGCTGCGCGACGTCGCCGATGTAAGCTTCCGTTCCACCAATAGGTGTCGAACCGATTCGCCAGTTCTGTATGTGCGTCGTCCTCGAATTCGCGTCGGCCCAGGGGCGGGGCAATGTGGTCTCGTCCATATGCACGCCTTCACTTGCGCGCTAATACCGTCGTTGGCATATGGGAAAAAGTCCACGTTCTGCACGGCAGCGATCGCAGCGGTGACCTCCACCCACGTGCGAGGGCCTTCGCCGTGCCATGATGCACTCCATCTTCCTTGTGGTTTCGAAGCTGTGGTGGATATTACACAAATCCACACGTGATATCTTAAGCCCCCTTTCTATATCCGAAATGCCATACCTCTACCAACGAGCTGCTTGGGAGTTGCCCAGGTCTGCCGCATGTGTCGATCATTGAAGCGATTTCGCAAGACAGCTGCACATCCCATAGCCGTCGTAGTCGAACCCCCGTTGGTGAAGTGCCTCCAATATCATACGCCCATCCTATGTTCGCAAGAACCCGTCTGCTTTTCTGCATACTGCCTGGGTGCCACATGATAGCGCCGCGTCGTAGGTCTTCGCGTGGTGTTGAATATCGCGCTATCTCAAACCGCTCGCCCACATGAAGTTATATCCAGTCGCTTTCAGCGCGATGCCCGCGGTTGGCGCCATCAGCTGGCGACTGGCGGGCGCCGAAGCCGTCACAAAGGCAACGGGCTGCGGGGCGCAACGGTGTTAAAAGCCCCCCTCCCGCCCTGGCAAAATTCTCGAGCGCAGGGGGGCTGGGGGAGGAGGAAGAGAATGATGATGATGATGGTGATGCTGATGATGATGATGATGATGATAATGATGATGATGATGATGCTGGTGATGATGATGATGATCCGCGCATCCAAGAAGGTCTGGAGCTCCCCGCTCGATACAGCCTCCCGAAGCCATGGCCTTTCCCTCTGGCGCTGCGGACGCAAGGCCTGGCCCGTGCAAAGGCACACTCGCAGACTCGCCTGAAAACGAGAGGCCGCGCCATCCGCCTCGGCCGAGGCAGGCGGAAGGCAGGGCACCGAGCATTCACGGCAACTCAGCTTGCTGGCTGGCTGGCGGCACAGAGCAGAGCAAGCTGGGGCGCAAGAAGCGCAGACGCTGCCCAAGAGGGGCGGGAGGGAGTGAACCCTGGCGTGTGCCGAGCCCCACGGGGTACAGCCTACGCCACGGGGTCCCTCCCCCCCCAGAGGCAGCAGCTCGGCGCAGGCATTCGTGATCCTTGGACCCGCCTGCGACGCGAGCAGATCCCGTGGCACCAAGGCCCCTTCATCGGGCATCTGAGCGTCTAGGGCCTGGGGCGCCTCAAGTGGAACCCCGAGGAGGAAGCTGGCCGCTGCGAGGGCCAACCGCGAGGCGGCCGCCGCCTCCAGAAGCTCGCCTGCAGACAAGAAGCCTGTGTCGATGCCATCGCCGCTGTAGGGAACGGATCGGCCGCCGACGTCGCCGAACCCGTAGCCGTTAGTTCCTGCAGGGGCAGCGGTGTCGCCCGCAGCAGCTGGGCCAGCGCCTCGGGGGACTCTGAGCCTCCCCCCCGCTGCGCAGTGCTGCTGTATAATCGCCTGCAGGTCGTCCAACTCGATCTCCTCCACGTGGACTCCAGACGCCGCGGCGCCCTCGGGAACCACATCCGCCGTGTCGCCCTCGAGCTCGTCGGGAACGGGGGTCGCAGCCGCCCACTTCAGCTCGTCGGCGATGCGCCTCATGTCAGTGGGATCCCTGCCGTCCCACAGCCAAGTGAGAGCCCTGAAACCGATCGGGCAGTCGGTGAGAGCAGGCAGGGGAGGCAAGGCCCTGAGGCCCACAGTCCCATCGAGGAGGACATCGGAAGCATCGAACCCGTCGGAGAACTCGCAATCATCACCTCGATCCTCCACCACGAGGGACGAGAGCGAGCCATCGGATGCGCCGTCGTTGTGCTCGCCCGCGGCCGCTGGCGCATCCGAGCTCATCGCGATGTACGCCTGCAGCTGCTCCCTGAGCGTGGCGAGCTGGTCCCGCAGCGCATGCTCCGCAGCAGCCCAGCCTTCTCGTAGGGAGCGGATGTCCTGGGCCTGCTTCGCGACCAGAGCCCTGTACTGGGTGCGGTCCAACGCGGGATGGTGCAACTCCCCCCTCAGCATATCCAGCTGGTAGTCGGAGCCGAAACCGCGGCCCAGGTCCACGTCGGCGTTCGCGTCCCTGTGCTGCCTTGCGCCCTCCAGCTGCTGCAGGAGCGCCGCGTCCCGCAGCTCCGATTCCAGCGCCTCCGCGAGCCGACAGGGGCTGCTCTCGAAGGTCCAGGCGACCCCAGTTGAGGCCTGGCACAACCGCATCCTTTCGGGCAGGGAAAGCATGCCAACGATCCGTACCTGGAGCACCTCGGGCAGCGAGGCCAACAGGGCAGCGGCAGGCTTGAGCGCGGGCCGCTGTGCCGCCTCAAGCCGCTGGTGCAAGTCCCGCCGCAGGCGATCGAGGTGATCCTCGCCCCCCAGGAGCTCCGTCTGGACGCTGCCGTCCACTGCCACGGCGACGACCTGGTTCGCGAAGCTCACGATGGGGGGGCGCCGCCATCCATCAGTGGCGGCAGTGCCGCCCAGCACTGGGCAGTCCATGGCACCGGGAGCCTGGCAGTGCTCGTCGGGTGCCTCATCGTAGTCGCCGAAGGGCAGCGCGGCCGCCTCCGGGAGCGAGGGCAGCCAGCCCAGGCGGGGGCCTGCGGCGGCCCGCGAAAGGCCCGCTGCGGACGCGCACGCGAATCCGCCCGCAGGGACCAGCAGCGCGTGCCAAGCGGCGTTCCGCCGCCGCCGCATTGCGCCTGGGACGCGGCATCCCGCGGCGGCTCGGCGCAAGGCGGGGCGCGCAGCAGCCTCCCGGTCCTGCCAGGAACCTGGGCCGCCGCTGGCCGCCTTGCCGACTGCCGCCGTGGCGGCGAGGAGGCGCCGCGCCCGCGCCCGACGGCGGGCCGCCGAGGCGCCTACCTCGGCCTCCTCCTTCCTGCGCAGCGCACTGCCACGCCTGGTGGGCCGCCCCGCCATCGCGCCTGCGGGCAGCCCCCCGTCGCCATTGCTCATCTCCCAGTCGCGCGCCGCTGACCGCTGCGCGTGGGCGCCTGCGAAAGTCCGGAGAAACAGCTTGAGCCAAAATGGCTACGGATGATGATGATGATGATGATGATGATGATGATGATGATGATGATGATGATGATGATGATGATGATGATGATGATGATGATGATGATGATGATGATGATGATGATGATGATGATGATGATGATGATGATGATGATGATTCTGAGAATGGTGATGACGATAGTGATGGTGCTGGTGGTGATGATGATGAGGATGATGATGATGATCGCACGGTCATGGTGACGACGGCGGCGAAGGATGATGGCGATGGCGAGCTTTGGCAGCGAGCTGATGATTGTGATGATGACCATGTGTGATGAGGATTGCGAGTGATCTAAGTGATTCGAATAAATATCTAACATGGTACGGCCTTCTCTGCAGACCAGTCGGGAGGGGTGGCTGTTGGGGTTGACTGGCGGCGCGCGCGGGCTCGGGACCCTCCTGGGCCTCGTGAGGGAGCGCATGGACAAACTCCCAGTAGGGCCTTTCTGGTGCCCCCGAATGTGATCAGGGAATGCCCTAGAACCGCTTGATCTGGAATAACGCCTGCTTCAGGAAAGTGCTGGGCAATGTCTGCATGGGGCAAAACGTGATCTGGGAAAACTCGAGTCGAATGCAATCCGGGGCAACTCTGGAGCGAAAGCGGAAGGCCGAATCCGGAGTTCAGCAAGCCCGTATCGGAAGGACGCGCGAGAAGGATGCAAGGGCCTTGGAAGGCCACGTCGACACTCTGCGAGCGGGGAGGGGCCAGCGAAAGCGGCCAAGGAGGGGGGGAGGAGGCAGGGATGCAGGGGCACCCTCGGGAAAGTTACCCGTCCCCACTGTGCGGGTTGACTGCTGTCCCTGACCGCCCCCTGCCCTGATAACTCGGGGCTCCGATCGTCGGAGGTCTGGCCCTCTCGCCTCACAGAGGCTCGGCACCCCAAACAGTGTGGCGACGGACAGCGTGGTGCCCTCGGAGTCCCCCCAGCTCGTCGCCCCTCCATGTCCTCCCTATCCATCTCCGCCTCCTGCTCCTCCTCTTCCTCCTCCTCCTCCTCCTCCTCCTCCTTCTCCGCCGTAGCCTTTGAAGCTCAAGGCTCGGCCCTCTCGTGCGAGATCCCCCGTTTTCCTCCGTCGTTCTATCTCCACCGTCTCTCACGGCTGCTCCGGAGGCTGTCGCCCCGCCTTTTGGGGCCTCGGAGGCCCCCGGTCGCCCGGGACGCCTCCGCAGCACGACGCAGCGACCTCGAATCCCCTCGGAGTCACCGCGCGGTGTGGTCACCGTGGTCACCGCACCGCTTGTGGAAGAGGAAGGGGCCCAGCCGCAGGGCTTGGAAGTCCGCGCGGAGCGCCAAAAGCTCATGCCCGTGGCGTCCTCTTCTTCGAGTTCTGGGGTCCCTCGAAACGGCTTGGACGCCCGAAATGGGTACGGAAAGAACGGGTACCATGCCCAACAGCAGTGCCTGTTCATTTCGAACAGGACTCGCTGTCCGCGCCGCCGCGGCCTGTGTCCATTCGAGACAGAAGGCCGCCTGCCCAACAGCGGCCGCTGTTGGTTTGGGACAACATGTCCGGGCGTCCATAAGCGGGGGCCCTGGGCGCCCGAGCCCGGCATATGGCACAGGTCGGGCCGCGCGCCGCTGCTGATCGCCAGCGCCACCGAGATGGGCTGCAGGCCGGTGCCCTCGAAGGGCAGGCGACGGCACGCCAGCTCGTACAGCACCACCGCGTACGAGTACCTCGCAGGAGGTTCTCCTCCTCCTTCTCCTCCTCCTCCTCCTCCTCTTCCTCCTCCTCCTATCCCTTCTCCTATCCCTTCTCCCTCCTCCTCTCCTCCTCCTCTTCCTCCTCCTTCTCCTCCTCCTCCTCCTTCTCCTTCTCCTCCCTCCTCCTCCTCCTCCCTCCTCCTCCTCCTCCTTCTCCTCCTCCTCTTCCTCCTCCATCCTCCTCCTTCCTTCTACTTCTCCTCCTTCCTCCTCCTCCTCCTCCTCCTCCTCCTCCTCCTCCTCCTCCTCCTCCTCCCCCGTCTCCCCCTCTTCCACCTTCTCCTCCTTCTCCCCTCCTCTCCCTCCTTTTCCATCCCTTCTCCTGATGAATAACTCCTGCCTGTCGCACCCCGAGGCGTTTCGGTAGGGCCGCCAGGGCGTTTCGCTTTAGAGTTCCTCACCAGTTATGATCCTGAAGCTTTGAATTTGCAACCATCTCAAAAAGATGGAGGGCGGCCTGGTTTCAAAATGTGGTTCTCACCTCAGCGCTGCGCATATTCGCCGTGCAAGTTTGCAAGAGCTTCAACGATGGAGGGCGGCTGGTTTTCAAAATAAGGCCCTCGCCTTAGCACCGCACAGATTCGCCTTAAAAGTTTGCAGCAGATTAAGAGGATGGAAGGCGGCCCGTTTTCATATTGGGCCTCTCGCCTTAGCGCCGCACACGTTCGTCTTAACAGCTTTCAGCAGCTTCAAATATGGAGAGCGGCCCGTTTTGAAGTGTTGTTCTTGTATTAGCGTCGCATGCATTCGCCTTCAAAGTTTGCAGCAGATTCAACGATGGAAGGCGTTTTCTTTTCCAAAATAAGGCTCTCGCCATAGCGCCGCGCACATTCGTCTCAAAACGTTTGCAGCATGTTTAAGGATTCGTGCAGTTGAGGTCCCAGGAAGTGTGTCCTGGCACGATTCAGGACTGTCATGGCGCAACAGTCGCGTTGATTCGTGGTGTTGAAGTCCCAGGGGTGGCTTTCTGGCACTATTCAGGATTGTCAGGACGCAGCAATCACGTTGATTCGCGGCGTTGGCGTCCCAGAAGCTGCGTTTTGGCACGACTGGGGATTCTCAAACGGTTGGTTTCCAATAGGGCACTTCCCGCAATGAAAGTCCGCCACCGTGCCGCTGGCACGAAGTGGAGTGCCCCAAGGCTCATACAGCACTGAGAGGTAGACGCTGTGCTGCTGCTGGAGAATTGTAAGTCTTTGAAGGCTTGGACTAAGCGTCTCCCAAGGATTTCCAGGCTAGCCCCCGTGAGTTCTAAGATGGTTCCTGCGCCTCCCGTGGACGCTGTGCCCCCCTCCGAAGTGACCTTCCGAACCATCGCGTGAGTCCAAGAGGGCCCCGAGTCGCAGGACGATCTCTCCAAGACGCCCAAGATGACCCCAAGATGGCTCAAGAGGCCTCCAAGACGCCACAAGAGGCCTCCAACAGGTCTCCCAAGAGGGCCCAGAGAGGCAAATATCATTGTTTTTCTTCAGATTGTGACGTTCTCGCCGTTTCGGCTTTCCCACGCTCCAGGACGGCCCAGGAGGCCCCAAGACCAAAACTGCCTCCAAGAGCCCCCCCCACGAGATCCCAACGACCATCCAATAGGCTACATTCCCCCAACCCAGGCACGGTGGCGGGATGAACCGAAAGCCATTCGACTTGGGCCGGCACGGGAACGGAAAGAGCGCAGCATAATCTTGCCCGAGATGGCTCGTGGCACAGTTCGCTCTTGGGAGCCTTGGTGTGAAGAGCTGTTTGCATCACCGCTCGCTATTGGGAGCCTTGGTGTTGAGGGCTTTCGACGTTACCGCTCGCTCTTGAGAGCGCTGGTGTCAAGAGTTTGTCGCGTCACTGTGAGCTCTTGGGGGCCGTGGTGTTCAGAGCTTGTAACGTCACCGTTCGCTCTTGGGAGCCTTGATGTTAAGAGCTTGTCACGTCAGTATGGGCTCTTCGGAGCCTCGTTGTGCAGATTGTGTACGGCAATGCTCGCTCTTGGGAGAATTTGTCTTCAGAGCTTGAAGCGTCACCGTTCGCTCTGGGGAGCCTTGGTGTGAAGAGCTTGTCACGTCACTATGGGCTCTTCGGAGCCTTGGTGCTCAAAGCCTTTTTCGTCACCGCTCGCTCTGGGGAGCCCTGGTGGTAACAGTTGTTTACGTCTCCGCTCGCTCTGGTGTTACGAGCTTGGCGTCTGCAGGCCTTCTTGGGGGTCCTGTTGGTGCCCTGTTGGGCCCTCTTGGGGCCCTCTTGGGCAGTCCTGCGGCCCTTTTGAGCCGTCTTGGGGCGTCTTGGAGGGCTGTGGCCGTCTTGGAGCTTTCCTTGGGGCCTCTTGGGGACCTATTGGGAGCGTCATGGGGCCCACTTGGGGCTCTCTTGGGAGCCTCTGGGCGCCCTCTTAGGCCGTCTGTGGGCCCTCTGGGGCTGCCCTGGGGGCCTCTTGGGGCGCCTTGGGGTTTTCTTGGGAACCTCGTGGGCCATCTTGGGGCGATCTTGGGGGCCTCTTGGGCTGTCATGGGTTGTCGGAAGCCCGAAAAGGTGAGAACCAGCACAACTCACAAAAAACGACGGGCAATTCAACGTGTTTCCCTCCTCAGCGTGCTGTTGGGGCCCTGGTGGGCTATCTTGGGGCTCTCTTGGGCCGTCCTGGGGCCCTTTTGGGCCGTCTTGGGGGCCTTCGGCCTTCTTCGAGCTTTCCTTGGGGCCTCGTGGGGCCCTATTGGAAGCCTCATGGGGCCCACTTGGGGGGCTCTCTTGGGAGAGGGAACTGAAAAAGCGCTTCAAGAATTTGCCTGCGATGACTCATGGCACCCTTCGCTCCTGGGAGTCTTGGTGTTAAGTTGCGTCACCGCTCTCTGTTGGGAGCCTTGGTGTTCAGAGACTTTTGTGTTGCAGCCCGCTCTTGGGGTCCTTGATAGTAAGAGCTGTTTACGTCACCGCGCTCTGGGAAGCCGTGGTGTTAAGAGCTTGTTACGTTACCGCTCGCAGTTGGGAGCCATGGTGTTACTTGGCGTCTCTGGGGCTACTTGGCGTCTCTGGGGCTTCTTGGGGGCCTTTGGGGGGTCCTTTTTGGACTGTTTGAGGCCATCTTGGGCCGTCTTGGGGCCAGCCCAATCCTCAGACCCAAGCAGTCCAGTCCCTACACCCCTTTTGAGCCGCCGTCGGCCGTCTTGAAAAGCTGTGGCCGTCTTGCAGCTTTCCTTGGGGCCTCTTGGGGCTCTCTTGGGCCGTCTTGGGGCCAGCCCAATCCCCACACCCAAGCAGCCCAATCCCTACACCTGTTTTGAGCCGTCTTGGAGGACTGTGGGCAGTCTTGGAGCTTTCCTTGAGGCCTCTTGGGGCCCTTTTGGGAGCCTCACGGGGCCCACTTGGGGCTCTCTTGGGAGCCTCTAGGCGCCCTCTTGGGTTGTTTGGGGGCCCTCTGGGGCCGTCCCAGGGGCCTCTTGGGGCTCCCTGGTGTTCTCTTGGGGACCTCGTGGGCCATCTTGGGACGATCTTGGGGGCCTCTTGGGCCGCCATGGGTCGTCGGAAGCCCAAAAAGGTGAGAACCAACACAACTCACACGAACCTACTGGTAATTCAATGTGTTTCCCTCCTCAGCGTGCTGTTGGGGCCCTGTTGGGCTCTCGTGGGGCCCTCTTAGGCCGTCCTGGGGCCCTTTTGGGCCGTCTTGGGGGCCTTCGGCAGTCTTCGAGCTTTCCTTGGGGCCTCTTGGGGCCCCATTGGGGGCCTCATGGGGCCCGCTTGGGGGGCTCTCTTGGGAGCCTCTGGGCGCCCCCTTGGGCCGTCTGGGGTCCTGCGGGGCCGTCTTGGGGCCCTCTTGGGGCGCCTTGGCTCCTGGGGGCCCCTCGGGCTATCTTCGGAAGATCGTGGTGGCCCCTTGGGCCATCCTGGGCTGTCGCAAACCAGGAACAACGATAATCCAACACAAACCATACATAACCCTTAAGCGCATCAACGTTTTGTTGCCTCCTCAGGGTCCTTCTGGGGACCTCTTGGGCGGTCTCGGGACCCTCTAGGGCCAGTTGGGGGCCCCTTTGGGCCGCCTTGGGAAGCCTTCGAAACCTCTGGCCGTCTTGGGCCTCTCTTGGGGGCCTCTTTGGGCCCTCTTGGGGGGCCTCTTGGGGCCATCTTGGGGCTCCTGGGGCCGTCTTACAGGCCCTCTTGGGCCGTTTTGGGGCCCGTTTGGCCTGTCTCGGGGCCCTCTTGGGCCGTTTTGGGGCCCTCTTGGGGCCCCTGGGGCCGTCTTGGGACGGTCCTTGGGGCTTTTTGGGCCGTCCTGGGCCGTTCTTGGCCCGAAAAGGCCAGGATCGAAACAACATAGAACAACGAATGAAAATCATCGTGTTTTGGCCTCCTCAAGCCCTCTTGGGGGTCCTCTTGGGGTCCTCTTGGACCTTCGTGGGGCCCTCCTGGGCCGTCTTGGGGCCATCTGAAACCATCTTGGAACGCTCTTAGGCGGTACTGGGCTTTCTTGGGGCGCGTTGGGCCGTCTTGGAGCCCTCTTGGACCCCTCTCGGGCCGACTTTGGGGCCTCTTGGGCGTATCAGGCCGTATGGGGCGCCACTTGGGGTGCTTCGGGCCCCCGGAAGGCCGCTAGACTTTGCACCCGGCCGTTCCCCCACCCCCTGGACCCCCCCTTTGGGATGACGCCCTACCAAGAACGGAACCGCGTGAACTCTCTTTCCGTCACCTGTGCTGGCACGGGAACGGAAAGAGCGCTTCAAGAACTTGCCCGAGGTGACTCATGGCACCCTTCGCTCCTGGGAGTCTTGGTGTTAAGTTACGTCACCGCTCTCTGTTGGGAGCCCTGATGTTCAGAGACCTTTGCGTTGCCGCCCGCTATTGGGGTCCTTGATGGTAAGA